ATTATAAAAAACACTTTTTAATATACAACGCTTTTATAAATGGACTAAAAAGTATAAGATAATATTTCTCAGTCCCATAGAACTTGTTTTGGTAACTTTTGATTTTGAAGTTTTAGCAAAAGTCGTTATAAACAATTTATGAGATTGAAAATGAAAAGCGTGGGGCGCATGTAATAGACACCTGAATTGATATGAAGGGTAATATATGTTCATATGTATGTGGATATATGAATCACGACCGCTTAAAAGCGATTTCAAATTTGTACTTTCTCTGTAGAAATTTTAGGTCTATGTTATGTAGTTTGCTTATTGTCAATTAAATATAATGCTTTGTATTGCATGCGCCCCACGCTTTCCATTTTCCATCTCATAAATTGTTTATAACGACTTTTGCTAAAATTTCAAAATCAAAAGTTATCAAAACGAATACTATGGGGCTGAGAAATATTATTTTCTACTTTTTAGTCCATTTATAAAAGCGTTGTATATTAAAAAGTTTTTTTTTTATATTATTTATTTTCTACTTTTTAGTCTTCTATGTATAAAATTTTGCAATAGATATTAAAATAATTCAACGATATTAATAGATAGGTGCACACACATGCATTTACATGTGTATGTACATACATACGAGCACCAATTAACTTCATTTAGGGCCAAATTCACCGTGCGTAGTTAACCACTGACAAAAGTTTAACTATTGGTTTTGATATACACGCCGCTCAGTTAACAAAAGTTTAAACCAGAATGCCCCCATAGTTAAACTCTTGTGAAATTGAAATTTTTTTGGTGGAGCGAAATTCAAATTTGAATAGAAAAGTATTGATATTTAGAATTTGTATATTTTCAGGCGATATGAATTTTCATAGTGACTCTGAATATAAATTCATAGTTAAGCTCTTGTTTGTGGTTAAGTTAACAATCGCTTAACTAAGCACTGTGAATCCCGCCCTTAAAGAAATGGCGTGTCGTCCATTTCCGCTGTAGCGTACGTAGTACATAGGGCGACATCTAATGTCATCTACCTCGCATTATGCACTACAGATGTCGCCCTATGCACTCGACTTTTTTATAGGAACTTTGCAAAGCAAAGGTTTTATGATGTCGGACACACAACATTGAAAGTTTCTGGATCCACAACATTGAAAGTTTCTGGAGCCACAACATTGCAAGTTGATAAAAGCGTTGTAATTAAAAGTGGGCGTGGTCCGCTCCCTTCTACTGATTTGAAAGGTGTAAACCTTTTTTGGTGGAAATTAATAGGGCGGAGCTAAAGGGGGGTAAAAGTGGAATTTTCAATATTTACAAAAGCTTATATTTCCAAAACTATTACACCGAAATGTGGTTATGGTTGGAAAGGTAATTAATAGACCTTTTATCTGATATGCACATCTTTATATATTTTATATACATAATTCGAGAAAAACTGAAAAACGAAATTATAACCATTTTTATTTATAAAATCTACGTTTTTCTAACAAAATGCGTAATTAACTATATTAAGTGATGTGTTTATTAGAAAGAGTAGAGAAATACTTTAAATTGGTATATTATTTTATATAGTTAGGCTTAAGCGCATGTTGCTTGAGGCTTTTTTCCATATAAAACGGCAACACAAAAAGGAGGATTTTACTTCGTGAGGGTTATATTCCCCAAGTGCGGACGATGACCGCCTACGCAGAAAGGCGTTCTCTGCAAAAGGTGCTCAGCCCCTTTTCTTCGGCAACACAGAAAGGAGAATTCTAATTCGTGAGGGTTATAATCCCTAAGTGCGGCGGAAGGCCGCCTACGCAGCTGGTGGTCTCCGCAAAAGGTGTTCAGCCCTCTTCTTCAGCAGTACAGAAAGGAGAATTCTACTCCGAAAGGGTTATAATCCCTAATTGCGCACGAAGGCCGCTTACACAGAAAGAAGTTCTGTCCCTTTTGCCTGGCAACACAGAAAGGAATTCTGAGTAGTAAGGGTTATAATCCCTAAGAGCGGCCAAAGGCCGCCTACGCAAAAGGATTTTTGCAACATGGCATACATAAAATTAAAGGTATTTTTATTCACTTTTTAAAAATATAATTTTTGCATATAGTTAATTACATATTTTCTTAAGAAAAACATAAATTTTTATTAAAAAAAATGGTTCTAATTTCGTTTTTTAGGTTTTTCGAAATATGTATAAAATATATATAGATATGCATATCAAATAAAAGACTTTTCAATTATATTTCAAACCATGTCCACGATTATAAAATCGGTGCAATAGTTTTCGATATATAAGCTTTTGAAAATATTCAAAATTCCACTTTTACCCCCCTTTAGCTCCGCTCCTATTAATTTCCGCCAAAAATGGTTTACACCATTAAAAGCAGTAAAAAGTGGCGTGCCCAATTATTATTTTTATCTTTCCTCAACGGCCGCTATACTGCATTTGTTCCCTAAAACATTTGCTCTAAGGATCTATATAAGCTTGGTGCATTCGTATGTCGCAAAAATGTTGATTCAGTTTCTCATAGCTGTACTACTTATGTATGTGTATAATTTATGTAAATCAATCGATATTTGAAAATGTGTTTACTGCGTACGGCGATTGTATTTCTATGAGAAGCTGTTTTCTATGGGAGAAATAGGGTGTATTCCAAAACGTCACAATACAAAGCATCAGTCTCTTTTATATCTAAATCTCAGTAGATTGTAAGGCCAAATGTGCGCAATCCAGAATGAAAGAATACAAGATTGCGCAAATCCAACCGAGGTAAACAAGCGAACAAGTGGTGCGAAATAGTGATGTAACACTAGGTGGAATTGTACCTACTCTTCAGCTTCTTAAATTTGAACATACATTCTGTACAAGCACATTATTTTAGGTACATTTGGAACGTAGTCAAATATTGCTTCGTGTAAGTCCAAAAGTTGATATGGTACAAAAGGAAGATGCAGTCAGTGTTGCCAGGTTGCAGGTTTGGTTGTCATTTTGAAGATTTTTTACTGCCATGACGATTTGACGATTTTTGTGACCCAATGACGATTTTTCTTTATGTGCAAATTTGGCTGGTTCTCAACTTTGAAGATAGTTACACAGACAACTAAAAATTGCAGTGTACATACTTGTTGAGAGAATTCCATTTCTTCTAATACATAATTGTCGTATCGAAATTATATCACACGATAGCACTAATAGCAGTTATCGATAAGTAGTTTTCTTCATGGTTTCATAGCTAATTGTGTAATTTTTGGCCGTCAAATCGATAATTTTGCGGTGTGCCGTTTTATACTGGTAAAAGGCCCGCGGACTTTATTTCCAAAAAAAAAAATGAAACAAAGCCCGCTGGCTTTATTTCCCTTTCGAAATGCAAATCAGGTCCCCCGAAAAAAGGCATAATTAATTTGAATATCCTATAATAAAGGGAAACAAATATTTAATTTAATGTAATCATCAAATCAGTTTTGATTTAGTATTGGAATAAAACACGGGGGGTTTGGATGCATTTAAAATGTAAACAAGAGCCTTTCCCTTTTTTTAGGAAATAAAGCCCAACTTAAAAAGGAAATAAAGCCCGCGGGAATTATTTCCTTTCCAAAATGGTATAAGTAAGAATCAAAAGAGACTGGTTTAGCGGAGAACGATGAAGTCAAATTACCTCCTAGCAACAAACATAGGCGGCATACCACTGTTGACAGCAGTTACTTTGAAGATTTAAGGAAGTTTGTTTACTGATGGCAAGTTTTTCAGTGCCAGTTTAAACTTAGAATGAGTAAACTGAGTTTAAATTGAACGGCTGGCTGACATTTGATTGGCTGATCTTAGTTTAAACCAGCCAAATCGGGCGTTTAAACTTAGTTTAACCCATTTGCGCTCTCTGTACTATATAAACGACACCAATTCAACCCACGTTTAAAAGTTTACAATTATTATTAAAACGAAATTGCTTTAATAAGTTTGCACCTACTGGTATTAATTTCACTTCAGATAGAATAAAAG